GACAATGTAAGCACAAATATTCGCATGCTATGGAGCTTACTGGAATGTGATGACAAAGTCGTAGAAATCATAGCATGAGCGTGGAAACCTATCGTAGCATATAAAATCAACGATGTAAGTGTAGCGTTTACATCACATTGACATCATATGATAAGGGTCTTACCTGAGTATCAGCGTGGTCGTCGATGGCAAGCAGTCTAAATGACGAGCAATGCACAAAGTACGAAGTTTTAGGGTGAAAGAAGAGGAAATACTAGCATACATTCTTTTAAAGTGTGTAGACGTCTGTCTGCCTCTCTATCATTATTACATACTGTCTCTTGACACTGCAAGTTCGTCTGTTCCAACTTGTTGTGGACTCTGCACTTTCGACTACCGACCATGCACTTACTTTCTCGATTATGAAAACCAAATGTAGATCTAAGCAGCCGTATCTACTGCAACAACCTACAACATCTTGCAGATTAAATTTGTATCCAGAAGAGGCTGAATCTTTTGCGTCGAACTGATACGTTTTCGTTCATATATGTAACGTGAATAGCATTCGAGTTAGGCGCAAACGTCAATTATCAAAAATTGGCCTTCACAAAGCAAGCTCCTAGCAACGATTACGATAACAAAGATATATCGAGTTGTGCCGTCAAAACCTCGATAATTCGTGCAGTGTATAGCCATATTTAGTTTACGATATATCGCATATAAGCGCAAACCTTTGTGTCCCTGTATCTAAGTTGAAGTGGAGCCACTATATTTCGACTGCTTTTATTTTAATGTTATAAAGTCGAACTATATACAATTTAACACATGATACGTATGCTCACGTCACATAATACCTGCGAAATTATAATGCGTGGTGCTTATTCGTAAATACCGCATTGGGTGTCAAGAGATCGAACGATCAATACATAACTTTTCAACACTAGTAGATTCCCGCAAAAGGCAAATATTGTCACATGAATCGATCACTTTTGATATAACGAGAGAAATGTGAACTAAATTTTTATCTCCAGAGCTATCGAAAAATGATTGATGCGCAGATGTACATAATTCCTTCGTATACTAATTGCTTAATAGTGTGTTGCTTTCGATTAAACTTCAATATGCGCATGTTTTGTTTTATCTGAGTAGTATTTGCAATATAGCTCTTGCTTTTAGCATATGGGATCATATATGCGAGGAATCTTACGACTATTGAGATGTGGCTGACTCTCTACAACTTCCGCGCATGCTTTAGCTTTTAAACACCGGATAAATACGCATATATTATTCGTGTTCGACCGAACACTCGCCTGTCACGCTTATTTATACAGCTTAAACGGTTTGACTCCTTCACCGATAAAAAAAAATTAGACCATGGTAAGCATTGTCTTATTAGATCCAATTTGGCTATATGTATATATATATATAATTTGCGGATTGCGTAGCTGACCACAGAATGAAGAAATTGTCGCAAAATAAATAACGATGTGAGTTTTCACCGGTAACGAAACAGACGATGCTCAACGGCCAATATAATACAAAGATATGGGTGTTGAAGGATAAATAAAACACGGATGATCCTCTATATATATTTGGATGATAACAGAGCTGTAATGAGCCACTTCACGAAATTGCTTTTTGACTGATCTTGTCGAGTTTTGTCGCATTATCGATAATTTCATAGCGTAAGAAATATCTTTCTGGACTTATTCAACAAAAACGTCATACTTTTTAAATCTGCACTATCATCTGAAGAGCGTAGACTTCTCATTAAATCGTTTGCTACGGATGACCCCTCGGTGCCATAAACGCTACACGCTGTAAATGTGACTTCTGCGGTCGAAAAAATATCTACGTCCGTGCTAAGAATCAGTCAAGATATATATTAAGATAGTCCAAATCATCAATTTACCATGTTTCTTGCGCCTTCTTCACCAATAATTCAACCTAACAACCACACAATCGCCCGATTTGTGTTGTACAGATTGTGCTTCGTGGTGTATCTCTTATAAAGTCTGCGTATTGTTGGAAGTTGAGGACGATGAAGTTAAAGGTGCGATTAGCGCCAGGTATCGTTTCCTGTTTGCACAGTAAATAAAAGTACTTAGTGCTAGCGGCCAACCGTTATACGATGGTTGAAGCAGGGTTAGTGAGGTGACATAGTAGCTCAGGGAAGAGTAAGTCATCATAATGTTAAGTCTGTTCATTTTCTTGCATAAGAAGTTATATTTTATTCACGTATTTTACAGTTGTGGAAAACGCTGAGTGGTGACGATGACTTGAATCTTGAAGGATCAAGTTAATGACTAATTAAGATTTCCAGATATGCATTCAGATTCCGGGCGCGAAAATACATTTGCTGTCTTTAAAGAGTATACTCGTTACATAGATCCTAGTTATCATAAAGTACGCGAATTTTGATCGGCGCATATGTCCTACAAGTTTCTTAGTCAGTAACGTTCCGATTAAAAGCAGGATTTCGACTGCAGCTTGGGTAATGCTGTAATCTGTTTGCAAATTTGTGAACTAAATGCTGGTAAACAGTTTGCTATGACTATCATATGTTTGAAGTTCATGGCCACCGCCGTTTTCAATTTATCACGTACTGAATTACTCGTTTGAATTGACATGACAGATCTTAGATTATATCTAGCTTCAAGGTACCGTATTCACAAAGAGGTGCAATGTTATTCTGACGATTGCAATAAAGCTTTGTAAACCTCTTCATCTCGTTACAATCGAGTCAGCGGAGAGCTAACTATTGAAATTTAATCTTTCCTGAACCTATGTTGTTAACTTCCAGTGTCGAGCTGGCCAAATTTACATGTATGGACATATTGCGGTTGATATATGACAACCTACCATTCGCACTTACGTTGAAGCTATCATCATGTGCTCTTCTGTTGAAGGTTTCGATTACCCTAAGTATACTCCACGTATCTCCTTGTCTCTTTTTCGGGCTTTTTTTATAATAGACGCCCTGATTTATAGAAATAAAAAAGTGTAGCATACGGATACATCACGTTGAAAAGCTAAACATACTCAGCCTGCTGTTAAGGACAGTCCTTGAACTGTTATAAGGAATGATTGCAGGACAATGATATGCAAATTATAAGCCAGCGCGTCACCCGATCTTCCCTCACAAATTGCTGACGCGGCGATACAATCGCCACGATTGTGCATAGTATAGCTGCAACTGCAAATTATGTTTTATCATGGATGTAATGGTACTATACAAAAACGATCAATGTGAGTCTGTTTTTTTTGTCGGGATCAAACAGACGTACATGTTTGTCGTAGAACCTAGCAACAATTTTAGTCTTAAGACTACGAGAATCCACAAAGTCCTTATAATTAGTATGGAGTACTTAAGGCCAGATATACACCTGGCAGCACGTTAGAAAATAGAATGAGCCATTGTGAGCACATGTTTATGTTAGGCCGTATTGCTATTGTTCGTAAGCAGATCTTAGTTGAATGGCGCGAAACTTTTATGTACCACCTCTCACTAGATACGACTGTCGTTGACAAAAATTGTATGTATGCGTTACAAATCGTCACATTCCAGCACTACTCCGTGCGAGGCATTCGACTCGCATGGATTGTGAAGTGTTCTTTTGCAAACAATCGTCTGCTTTTAGCTACGTCTATTGGTACCGTTGAGACTGGCTCACACTTTGTCGACCTTGCGTGTCTCTAGACAAAACGTGCCCTTGTACTTGATTCGCTTCAAGCTAATCTGATAGACTACCACCCGCGCTATCTCATCTATGATTGAGCCATGATGTGCTGTGCTAGGGTGCACACAAGCTGCTCTAGATCATTCTGGTGCTGTCAGGATGTTTGCTAGATATCATTAAGCCACATGACACACGCTTATATTACCGCGATCCCCACCTTGTCGGGCAGTTCCAAATTACTTGGTGTATTGTATGCGTATCCGGACATTATAATGTGTCAGCTGACAATGCTGATTAGAATATCTACTGTTTGCATCCTATCACGATCGTATCAGGGCACGAGCTTAGTGCTTCGAATTTTCGCATCTTCCGTATAGCATTTATTTATTCGTCATCTGCGTGCAAACTTATTCGATGGCAATCGCAAGTCGTTACTTTAGCAGTCAGAATGTATACAGACAACCATGTTCATTGGAGCAGTAACGATACTGCAATGAACACGATAGTCTGTGAAATGCCAATGCACCTTATAGCGCCCTTATCGAGCACACATGAACGCTCTGTGGTGCTTTTGTATGACAAATCTTTGGATCGAAACTAGCGGCATATTTAAGCTAGTTTGGTCGCCGATAACTAACTTTACTCACTTCTGTTTGTAAAAGAGGTACGCGGCTCAAATCAGCATTTAGCGTTTTATCAGTGTCACCCACCGCTTTTTACCTTATAGAGCTCACATCTCTCAACTGCCCGCGGCACGTGGTCCGATGCACCAGAAATGCCAGCAAAGCTCTTTTTCACTTACAACTTTCGTTAGACGTACCCACGGCCTAAATTGCCGTGGCAATGCATCCAGGAATTTGCGACTTGCCGCCGCACAGAATACAGAAGCGCCCGATTTGTACCAGCGACACAGCTTTGTAGAAAGAGGAAGAGACTTGACTACAAAGACAGCTACACTTCCTTTTTGACAACGGTATCTCATTTCGTTCCTTAATGTCAATATCGATGCAGCATGCAGAATTATAGACAACGAGCGCGTCCCGCAAAAAATGTGCGTCACAGCGCATAACGAAAGTGCTGCATCATTTCCATCCGCTATAATGACCAAGGTCATACAGCATGAGGAGAGTAAAAAGTGGGCATTGGAAAGGTGGTCGTGAATGCATGTAAGACGCATCGAAGCATCTCCTATACGATTCAAATGACAATTCCTATGATCTTTTGTTTTGAGCGAAAGATGAACGATGCTTTTGATTCAATGAGCGATACGCGACAGCTATTTCGTCCCTTCTTTCCACTTTAGTGGTCTATTTGCTCTCCCCTGTAAATTACGCTGACGTCATGATAAAGGGGCTGTTCTACAGCGAGTTTGACAACGTCGCAGGGCCTGTTATTCTCTTTCAAGCGCCCCCGAAGTAGGCTGTCGATCTTGTGGAGCTGATCGGTATCATTGCTAATGCGACGCTGACGCTTTCAATGCCACTAGTGTCCTGAGTAATGAGGTGTTCGACAGTGTGTCCGGCTACATAATCATTGACAAGGCGCTTTGTGGGAAGATCATCACGGGTGGGAATTTACAATATGTTGCAGTAAAAAAAATAACGGGGTCTGATGCATATCGCCACTCAAGAACTCACGTTGCATGCGGCATGGCAGTCCGTGCGCAGCAAATGAAGATCGTGGGGTATCCCGTCTGCATTGAAGACGACAAGTATCACCGCAACGCTCTACTGTTTAACATTGGTACAGTCCATGACCGAACCGCATTGCAGTGCACAACATTCCTGACGACCTACACTTGTGTCCGTTTGTTCCGAGCAGGTTTTGTATTCAATGACCATGTGGAGACGGCGCCGTATCGGCCGATTATACGAAAGGTTGGTCGCTCCTTTATAAGTAAAATACTAACTAGGAGATACTGATGATTTTCTTGTTTGAACTGCGAAAGCAGTTGGGAGCTGTAGTCGAGGGAATGGAAAAAGAAAGCGGCTTCCTGTACGATCCAAACAAAAAAGCGCTACTGGGGACAATCCTGCCCCAGATTTTGCGGGACTTGACGCTGAATGGCGAGTGCACCATTCCAGTGGACGCAGCCAACATCATCAATCTAAAGCTCTTCCCGAGCTTACAAGACCCTCCGTCTGTGTGTGAGTATCAAGTGCCAGTGGCCATTCGAGATCTACGCGCTCTTCTTGAAAACAGTGGTGCGGTCCTCAAAGCCAATCATGCGTTCATATCTGACCAAGTGACGCTCACTGGCTCGTTCATGACTTGCGTATATAGCAGAATGGGACTTGGCGCTTCAACAGATTGTGCCTTTTATTGACGGCGTTCGGTATGTGAAGCGCATCAGCCTTGAGGCAGATGTAGAGATTGCGATCGTGAAGAAATGTGTCCGGCAGCTTCTGTACTATGGATGCGTGACGCTCATCGACATCTTCCTCCACTCGAATATTTACGCAAACACGCCAAAAATCGCCGTGCTGGCAAACGACCAGAAGCTGCAAGCGGAGTGCGCCGTTTATATCGCCAAATCAGGTTATGCGCCACCATCGTTCGCGCGGATCTTCGCATTGTATTGTTCCGTCCAGCCTAGTCTACGCATGAGCGATTTCGCTGTCGTGTATTTCGAGTCACTCGCTTTCATCGATGTGCGGCGTTTCATCACGTTCGGCCTCATCCATGGATTCCTGAGACGTGTGCATCGGTACCCCATCTGTATCGATCGCAGTTCCAGCCCTCAGCAACAGCAGCAGCAGCAGGCCCAGCAGACAACGCAACAAAACCAGCAGCAACAGCAAATGGGCCGTCCGTTTAAGCTACCCTCAAACTCCCCAATGCTGTCGGGAATGAATCCCGTCGGTGCCGCACCTTCAGCGATCCAGCCGAATGGGGCGTCTGGCACATCGAACGCGAACGTTGTGGGTGGCAGCTCCGGTGGAAGTGGAAGCAACGTGGCTTCTCTGTCGTCTTCGAAAAGAGGTCTGATCTCCAAGGCCAACCAGTTGGAAAAAGACTTGCTTCGTATGATGAATGGCAGCCACAACACAGACGACATTTGCACCAAATTCTTGCTGCGCTACGCCGACGTGGAGTCCACCATTCAGATAAATCCAAACTGCTGCGCCGTGCACAAGTAAGCATACGACAAACCTGGGAATAGCAAAACGAGGGTCGGCGTCAACAAATTGCATTTCTCCTCTATCTGCACACGCGTTGTCCGTGCGAACCTATGGCGGATGACATGTCACTCTCCACCGATTCGCCCAAGATCGCATGTTATTCGTGTCAGTCGGATGCCCACGACCAACTTTTCACTTCACTCCATCCAAAATCCTGAGATCTCCATGTTCATCACAAGCGTCAAATAATTAATCATTTCTGCCTTCGTGTGGTAGAGCGGTAGATCGATTCGATTGAAGCACGTGTGGCCCTTGGGCATGAGGCCAGTTGGCGGCGGCCCACGCTGTGCAAACTGGATAGTGAACCGCCGGACACGACCATCGCTGCTCGTAAGCGCTTTGAACCCCTGAACGGGGACACGAGAAGTGCCAGTAGCAAACTGCAGCAATCGTGCGCGCTCCTCGCTCGTAAATTCAGCCATACACTCCCAGAACCACTTAAGCACACGATGCTCGACGGGAGTGGGCTTCTCGAGCTTCACCCAGCGTACCTCACTGTGCGCGTGCCAATCGTTGACGTCCAGCTCCGGCACACCAGATAGCAAAAGGTCGAACTCCTGATAATCAAACACTGTGATAATAAACTGCGGCATGACGTCGTAGAAACCTAACAGCAATGCTCCTAGCTGCTCCGAAATGCTCTCAAACATATAGTGCTTCAGCAAAAGCTCCAAATACTCCTTCTTGTTTTCGTCGGTGACATCCCGGGTGGCACCGCCAGGTACCAGCTCCACCGTCTCAGATTTACCCTCAGAAGTAATCACCTGCACCGTGAAATCAATTGCAAGCAGGTCAGCACCATCGTTTTGTTTCATCCACAATGCATTCTTGTACAAGTCCTCGTCCAGAAATTCAAGGTCCGAGAACGAAATAGGTACGCCAAGAATATGCTTGATCAGAGGCAGCGCAAGCGACATTTTCATGTTGTATCCTTCAATCAACGCCTTGGCAAGCAAACGACCAATGAATTCGTAATACTCCAAGTGGTTGGGCACCTTGGAAGCCGAGGCAGGGTTAATCCAGTAGCCCATGTTCTCACCCTTTGTAGAAATAAATAGACCAAACTCGTCGTTGAAAAGCGAATCGCTCAAAATCTCGTACCACTCACGGATCAAACCGCCAGCATCCAAGCCAGGCTCGTTCTCGAAGTAAATGCGCAGTCGCTCCCAAAAGCGACTAGGCGGGCACTTCAGCATTTGCTCCAGTGAGTCGCTCACAACATGTTCCCGTCGTACGACAAACTGTATGTGACCTTCTTCGTAACTCCGCCAGCGCTTCTGTACTTGCTCCAGGAACCAACGGTTCTTGTCCTGGAAAGTCAGCGAAGCGATCTCCTCAAGGTCATCCTCGCATTCCATCCGGCGACTAGTGCCTGCAAAAGCAATCACAGTCCCAGCAGGGGTCCATTCGTAGCCACCCTCACCGTCTTCATTTCGCACGTAGCCTGTAGACACACTGGACATGGCGGTATCGTTCGTATCTGCAAATCGACGATCATCCATTCCATTTTGTCCACCAATCTGAGGGACCAAGCGCTCGCTGATCAGACCCTCCCTGTTCTCGTCAATGTGATTCAACCCACGCGCGTTGTGAGCGCCATCCAAAGGGTAGACTGATCCAAGCTGGCTCTTGTTATTGCCTCGACACTTGACCGGCTTCACGCTGTTATTAGCCGGGTTGAACGGATTCTGTTGCGAGTAAAATACCATCGTCGGTCGCTCCTCTGCTTCTTCCAAACGCTTCAGTGCCGTCGCACGCAGCGGCTGGAACGACGGCCGCCCCAACTCGTTGTTTGCCGACAAGAACGAGCTGTCTGGGTGACGCCCCTCGTCCTCGGGGACCCCGAAATCGCGCAGCGCTAGTGCAATGTTCTCATTGTCTTCTCTCTGCGACGACGTCGACGAGATGCGACTCGTGTTGGACGTGCGGGTGAACTCTTCCTCACCTAATATCGCCGTGCCATTGTGGGGCGTACTGAGCCCAGTGTACGTGGCCCCGTCCCGGAGGTTTTTCAGCTTCCCCTGCTTCTCGCCCTCGTCGAGGTCGTGGACGTCCTGCGCATCAATGCGCACCCAGCGCATGACGCCATCGTTGCCTCTCTTCCGCTTCCACAAGTGCCGCCGCACGGCTGCCTTCTGTCTGGACGTCAGGTCCATCTGCTTGAGACGTCGGACGTGGAAGCTCCGCACTCTCGACTGCTGGTTCAGCATGCTCTGACTAAAGTCCTGTTTGTGCAGCCCCGAGGCGCGCGCCAAGTAGCTCGACGGCGATGACGCCGTGACAATGCGCGGCGTGCCGCACATCACGCAGCTCGTCTTGTCCGGGTGGTTGTCGTGGAAGCAGATCGAGCACGGCCACTCTTGTTCACCGCGCTGGAGAAAGCTGTCGACGAGGTCGTGGCGCATCATGTTGTTGTTCTGGTTGTCGCGCGCGAGGAACCGCTCGATCTTGCGCGCGTAGCTCCAGTAGTACCAGATGGAGCCGCAGAGCACGAGCAGCGCGAGCACGAGGAAGATGTACACGAGCGCCGCCATGCCGGGGCTCAGCTCCTGCCCGAAGATGGCCGTCATGCGACTAGTTTGCGTATGCCGGACGCCCAGCTGTCCAGGCCCGAGACGGCGCGAGCAGGAGAGCGAGACAGCGGGAAACACAGAGAGAGAGAGAGAGAGAGAAGGCGCAACTGACTCTTGAAAAGCAGAAAATTACTGCCGCGCGACGGACTTTCAGCTAATCGAACGCAAGTTGGAAACCGACCGACGAGTTGGGAAAGACCGCGCGCGCCTCTTTCGGTCGCGACGACCGATCGGCTTTGGTTGGGGTCGTTCGTTTTTTGTTTGGGAATTTTGTGGACGAGGAGGACCACTTGCATTTATATAGTAGAGGCATAGACGTCAGCGAGACGACTGGATGAGTGCGTGTATGTACATGTGTGGGTGGGTACGGGTCGCTCCGAACGAGGCGCAACGCTATCTGGACGCTCGCTGGCCGTCGTGATCACTAGCGATAGGCCATTCAGCAGACTCGGTGCAAGCGCAGCGAGCAGGACAGGCTCGCTCGATAACGGGCGCTTACGAACGCCGGGCTTTTGCACGAAAGCCACGCACTTGAGACGTCCGTCAACCGGCTTTGCGCCCAGTTTAGCGTTTCGTGCTCGATAGCAACGGTTTGGCAGTGCTCGAAAGCTACGTGCGGCCACGCGAGCACCTGTTTGAAGCGCAGCGGCGGCGTAATGGCCGTCCCGTTTAGTGGTGGACGTCTTGGCTGTTGGCGCACTGGCGTTATTTCTCTGCGGTCCAGCGCAGCCGGATTAACCTCTTGACTGCATCGGCAAAGGCGTGGACTTGGCGTTTCGAGATGAGCTCTTGTCACGCAGATCGTCTGCTGTCAAGACGCTGAAGAGCATCGTTTCGGTAGGTCAACGCTGTTCACTCTGACCACCGAGTGCGTGGAGCACCCGTAGGTGCTTTCGAAGGCACCTACTGGTGCTTTCCGCACTCGGTGGCCATCTACCTCGCAACCCTTTTGTGTGCCACTGCACGTAACTACATCAGAGACCGTGTTGAGCAAGTTGAGCTTTCACGTGAAAGCAAAAGTAGGGCGTTCTGGTCTTGGAATGGTGCGATTTGCTCGTCTATCACACCGCTTTGGGCGGTAAAAAATCAGCCGAAGCGTCCACGAAAAAGTGCGTGGCTCACAATACCTCCCATCGCCAACGACACTGTGTCATGACCCTCGCACGGCGTTTACAAGCGCGTCTGCAGCGGTGGCACCTCCTGGGACGCTACCACGTCAACAAGTGGCACTACGATGGGTCCAAGTGGCTCGATCGGTTGCTGTACGGAACAGGAAGCACAGGCAACGGACCGCGAGTAGCGTCCGTGGCATTCATGATCACGCGCCACACGCGCGAGCAGCTCACAAGTGCTGGATTTCCGGCCTCTGTCATCGCGACGCTGCAGCCGGCAGCAGCACAGAAGATTGTTGCTGACCAGCTTACATTTGATCAGTTCGAGGAGCTTCGAAAGCTGCAGCAAGTGGAAAAGGCAGGCGAGAGAGCAAAGCTGGCGTTGAAGAAGGAGCAGCAGCAGCAAGCGGAACGGCAGAACGTGCTCGTAGCGGTGGAAGGAAAGCAGGTGACGGAGCAGCTGCTGGGATTCGGTATGGAGCAGACTATGAATCCTACTGCACTCGCCACAGTTCAGGAGAAAGCCGCCGACGATAAAGACGTGCAGGAAACGCAGAACCAGTGAACGAGTTGTGTCAACAAGCAAAGCGTTCCGCGTGATTGGTTGCGACATTACAATGCCAATGATTGACGACCGCACTAAAGTTGATGTCGAGTCCTCCCCGTGCTTGCGCCTCTGCTTACTTCGCTCGTCTCCTTTGCTGCAATATCACGAGTCTCAACACGGCAACCGCACGCCGCCATTCATTGTTAAGAGTGTCGCCACCGCGTGCGTGTTCTTTCTCAGTACCAAAGTCACCTCCACGCAACCACACGCGTCCGTTTCAACGCCGTCTTCATCCTCGCGATTGCTGCGTCCATGGGGGTGAGCGCCACGACCACCGCCAGCTGCACTCCCCACCACAGTATACAGAAAATCGATCCGTAGACGTAACGGTTGCTCCCCCTATCAGTAAAGTAGATCCATGTGACTGACGCAAGCACGTAGAACAGCGTGACGAGCCAGAATCCGCAATAGAAGTCTCGTCGCAGGTCGTCGAAACTCAGAGTCGAGTGCCATTTGGAGCGGCGTACCGACGTCAGAACGCCGTGCTCCAATGCCTGTGTCGTCATGGTTAGCACTATCATAATGGCAGTCAGGGTCACGAGAAACGCAGCGGTGGGTGTGAGGTACGCCGCCAGTTCCAATAGCTGCAGCAATAGCCACGTCAGCGACTGCATTGCCGACCATAGGAGCGCCATTCACGGGGAGCTTGATTTAACTTCGATTTGTTTATCTAAGATTCATTTTACGCTTGTAAACGAAGTTTTCTATGATGTACGAGCAAATTAGCTTTTTTATCGGATGTTTAATCTTCGATCATCAGCCAATCACACATGTTGTCAGACATCGGCGCATCATCTATATGTAATTTTCTGTCGGCCTGGTAATTTATAAATGAATACCGGTACTTATTCGCTTCGACCTCCCAAATAGACTTCTTTTATTTAGAAATGAATTTTAGGTGCTGTCATCAAGGTCTTCAATGTTTGAGTATAATTCATTTATAGAAGACTACTTTTATTCATTTATCACCAAACTTCTGCGAAGAGCTGCTTCAATTGATCAATCAACCTTGCCATACGTAGCATTCGCACATTACATGCCTCATATATCAGCTGCCATTTTCTACGCATCACGTCGAAAGAAAGCAGCTTTATCCAGATGTATCAGACCCTCAACAAGGATCGCGTTTGTGGATTTATATCGCGACATTGTCAAGGCGCCTAACACACAATGCGTACAAAATGAGTAAATACTTGGAGCGAATCAATTTCCTCAACCCCTTCGTAACAAACGAGGCTACCATTACGAATGGAAATCACATTCGACGCAAAAGATTTTTCTTTTTACAAGCATGTGATAATATAAGCCCAAATTACTACACACTTCGCAATTTGTACCATGCTATCCAGCGATCGAAGAGAATGCATATTACGGGTGTGGCATGACAGCATGCATTCACAATGAAAGAAAAGGAAAGGTACAATTAAAATATATAAATGAGGAACAAATCCACTGACCAATACAGCAAAGTATTGGAGGTAATGCAAGATGGTGAGAGATGTGTTGCAGTCGCCCGGCTGGTCTCAAAGGATAGGAACATCGGTTGTAACCCATATTATTTTGGTTGGTTGACAGAGAAAGTGTAACGACCGTTTGATGGTACGGAGTTATATTAAGAAATTGAAGGTGGTTTTCTATCGTGGGGCAAGAGGTTCGTGAGACAGATGGTGTTCGCGGAACGAGCAAGTGGTTTCTACTGAAGAAACGTTGTCAGGGTGGACGTACTCGAACACATTTTTTTCGGAATGGCGGAACGATAGTACAACCGTCAGTTCGAAGGTTGATGGAACAAGATACCGACACTCGAGCCACGTTGCATAGATTTCTACACAAGTTTGCAACGAAGATTACTATAGCCCAGAGTATGAAGATAATTACGGCACCCAAAAGCTCGAAGCAAACTCGGACGGAGCACTGTCTGTACTTGGTGTCCGTGGGTGAAGCATGTAGAGGCTCTGACCATCTTGTGCAATACAGCACTGTGCATTATGCATCACCCAGTATGAGGGTGTCAACGCTGGCATGGCTAAATATTACGCGTATAGAATATCTGCGGCAGGCGTAAGATCTGGTGCACTTTGCACAGTCAACCGAGATAGAGCTGCGCGGGAAGCACATACGAAGGGATGCAATCAACGCCGTCCAAAACGAGCGCGAGCGTCGTGACTCACGGAATGTTCGACTAGATGGTCTCAAGGATCGCCAATTTGTTCGCAAGTGCTACAAGTAGGGAATCCAGGGCACCTAAAATGTAACGGGGTTACACGTCGGCTGGTAGTCGACGATAGGTGTGGTGCACACAAGAGAGGGGGTACCCTATAAAGTAATTTCAGAACACAGTGAGTGTATCAATTGTTGAAGACTGATGTCTGTCATCCATTTATTACGAGATCTTTTAAGAGGTTATTTAGGGCAGGTTAAATACGTTGTTCTAAGGTGTTCTTTTAGGTTAATCAAAGAAATTAAAATTCAGTTCCCCTTTTGATCATTGAAAGACACGTGCCTTACGAGGCGTCTTTGATCGATAGGAGCTAGCAATACCTGTGAAGGTAGCTGCTCCTGAGCACTCTGTGCTGTGATTCTTTTGAATCGTTTGGTCCCTTAGGAATGGAGACCGTAAGCTCTCTGAGCTTGTTGACACTCTGAGTCGGGTTCGTAGAACCAAAGTTGCTCATAAGAGCGTTAAGTCTTCCTCTTACTTAAGGAGCTGTGTAGCTCCGCTACATTGGTAGCACTTGGAGTCAATCTACGCCTGAGTCGGTAACGACTGATCCTCTGTGAGGATGGAGCAATCCACACCCCTCTCTGAGGCTCAAAAGGCCGCGCTTGAGAAGCTCACCGCGGCCGTAGGCCTAGAGTATGTGGAGTTTCTAGATGCACAAGTTCCCGATGTGCTCAATGCACGAGTCGAGACCTTCATACAGTACGAAACGGACCTTTTAGGGCAGGTTCAAAACGAGGTAGCGTCGGCTATGCTGACACGCTACGTGGCGATTCCACCAGAAGAGGTTAAGCCTCGTCCCCTTCGGGTGGACGTTAAACATTACTCCGGGAAGGAGGGGGAAAAGTTGACCCTCTGGATCCGTGAGATTGAGATGGCCATGAGATCTGGCTTTATCTTAATCGAGCATCAGCGAGTCTCGCTGGCCATCTCAAATCTCGATGGAAGAGCTAGAGAATGGGCTTTGACGTGCGGCACGTCGGTCTACTTGGCGTTTCCCACTCGGGATTCGCTCAAGCTAGACCTATTGCGAGTTTTCTCGCCGCCTAACCAGGCCTATCGCGTGCGCTCACGCTTCTTGTCTACCCGTCAGGGTAAGAACGAGTTAACGGACTATGTCCAGGAGTTGAGAACTCTGATGGCTGCCATGCAGTCCGACCCTCTCCCTGAGACCGTCTACGTGACAGTCTTCATGGAAGGTATTCGCACTGGCATTGCCAGGACCGAGGTCTTTCGAGTCCATCCCTCGACTTTTGAGGAGGCTGTGAGCATCGCTCAGAATGCTGAGCATAACTTCAAATCAGCAAGACTTGGTAAGAATGGGTACAACCCAAGCTATGCGAGGGCAACCTCAGCAAATAGCTCAGCTTACTGTAAGCCCGAACCGATGGATCTCAGCAATGCTGAAGATGAAGGTGAAGCTGAGCTTCATGTTGCCGAGCAACGACAGGAGGTGAGACGCTGTTACATGCGCGTAAGCACTAAAAACTTGCGTCCCACTTGTCCTTTGCGTAAGCAACGACCGACTCCTACGGGTCGAAACCCCAGCCTCAACCAGAAACTTGGTATGGCACGGGGAAACGTCGACACCCAGTAGGCGCGGGGCGCCCTACTAGGGCAGAACTGAGTTCTGTCACTTATCTAAGAGGTAGAGCAACACAGGGCTTAGCCCCACAGAGCTCCGTACCAGCAAGCACAGAGCGTGGATACAAGCCTGGCTTGTTAGTCGCCGAGGCGATAGTTAAAGGCTTTGAGAAGCACTGGTCGATATTAATCGATTCTGGGTAGTCATGTAACTATTCTAGACGCCGTTCCCTTGAGGGGAGTCAGCAATATGCTGATGCGCTCAAAGCGCACGATGGTGATTCCATCACTGTTCGGTTAGCGACGGGCAGTCGCATTACTGTGCCTAAAGTTCCGTTGAACTTGGGCGTGAAGTTTTTGGACTTTGATAGCACAGAACGCTGTCTCGTCCTTGACTTGGATTCGAGATACGATCTCATCCTAGGCATGGCATGGCTTGAACGCCATGAACCATGGATCGATTGGAGGTCTAAGACCTTGGGCGCCACGCGCAATGTTCCTAGCGAAGCTTTGGAGAGTCATGAACCCACCTTTGCTAGGCAACAAAAGCACTATTGGCGCGAGTCAGTGGAGGAAGATGTCAATGTTCTGGACATTGGTGTGTCGGAGCTAACAAGCCCGAATGTCTATGACATGAATATGGAGCGGAGCTCTTCTAATGTGTTTGAAGAGAGTTGTACTCCGTTGAGTGATACTCGTTGTGATAATGAGTCACTGCATGCGTCAAGCATGGTTGGCCTACGGGCGGGACATATAGGAAGTAATTTCCATGATGTCAGTGCGGTGGCACGTGAAATTACATAGAGTGAGAGCGGCCGTGATGGCACCTCACTGAATGTCGTTAATGACATTGATGGCGAGAAGCCAGAGATTGTTCAGGGCTAGGCCCGAATGCTGTACGTGAAGTGGTCCGTGTAAATCCACTGGGTGAAGTGTTCGAGTTACGTAACACTTCACCAGATGTCGTTCAAGACATGAGCTCTCGTCTAGAGCGTGCTAAGACAAATAGCAACCACGGGGACCCGACTGTCCCGGCCTCTAGGAGGCGTACTGTTTGTGTGAGGAAACGATTCCAGCGTAGGGTGGCAACTGTTAAGCGCCCAACGTCTAAGAAGTCACGAAGTGATAATAGTAATAATACACTATATACACTTGTCAATGGGTTGACTGGCCAGATCGATGGCAATATTAGTCTTGAGACTCTTCCATCTTTGGATACTCTATTTCAACTAGACGAAATGTCTGACGGCGAATTTAGCCAAGCCTAAAAGGCAGGAGAAATATCCGAGTTAGTGGTCATTCGACCAGATATTGAGTTGAACTCATCCTCGTTATTGGACGAGTCTGTCCTTGAGGACACAAAGGCGGCATTGGATGCCCGTAGTGGATCTTCGATCGTGAAGGATACTCTTGATCCGTTCTATCCTTTGGTGAAGGGGTTTCAGGACGTGGTGTGTCACGACCCACAGTCCGTCTTACCTCCCGATAGAGGTGTACGTCATGAAATTGACTTGGTTCCTGGAACTAAATACTGCGTAACACGGCAGTGGCCTTTGCCGAAGGAACAGTGTGACGTCATTGACGACTTCTTTCGTGCAAAGCACGCAGCGGGCATGGTTCGTGAGAGCAAATCTCCTCATTCCACGCCCACATTTTGTGTCCGAAAGCATAATGGAAAGTGGCGCATTGTTCATGCTTACAATAAGCTTAACGCTGCCACGATCCCGGCTCAGACGCCAATCCCTCGGAAAGATGTTCTTCAGAACAATATGGTGGGATGTACAATGTACAGTGCACTCGATTTAGTCGATGGTTATTACCAATTACTCA